TTGCATGTGGCTGACCTAGGTTCGCTCTCTGGTATCCATATGGTCCCCTGAACACCACCAGGAATAACCCCTGAGCATTGATGAGTGTGGCCCAAAAACAAACAAGAAGTCAAGTCTGGCAAACAGAAGGCACTCAAGAAATACCTGTGGAGGGGCCAAAGAGATAGATCAACAGGCTGAGAGCATGCTTTACATACAAGAGGCCCATGTTCAGCATCCATCACTGCATGGCCCCCAAGTACTTTCAGGAGTGACCCATGAGTATGGATTTGGGACTAGTACCTGAGCACTAATGGGGATTCCAACTCCCTCCACCCCAAATCACCAAATATTTAATGAATAATGAATAAATTAGAGAGGTTTTATTTTTAATTTTTTATGTTTTTTTGGGGTCACACCCAGTGATGCTCAGGGGTTACTTCTGGCTCTGCACTAAGGAATAATTCCTGGCAGTGTGTGCTCAAAGGACCATAAGGGATGCTGGAGATCAAACCTGGATCGGCTGTACTATCACTCTGCTGTACTATGATCTGGTCTCAATAAATTAGAGGTTTTACTATCAAGAAGGGCTGGAGCGATAGCACAGAGGGTAAGGCATTTGCCTTGCAAGCGGCCAACATGGCCGACCTGAGCTCGATTCCTCTGCCCCTCTGGGAGAGCCCAGCAAGCTACTGAGAGTATCTTGCCCGCACAGCAAAGCCTGGCAAGCTACCTGTGACGTATTCTATATGCCAAACACAGTAACAATTGTCAGATGGAGACATTACTGGGCCCACTCGAGAAAATCGATGAACAATGGGAGGACAATGACAGTGACTAACAAGAAATTAATATCAAGAAATAACTATCCATCAATAGTTCAAATAAGAATAATATAACCATCTCTAAAATACTGAAAAGACATCTGACAAAACTCAGAATACAAATTACAATTTAAAAAACACACAAACTGGGGCCAAAGCAATAGTACAGTTGGTAGGGTGCTTGCCTTGCACACAGCTGACCTGGGTTAGATCCTTGGCACTGCATACAGTCACCTGAGCCTGCCAGAAGTAATCCCGGAGGCAGAGCCAGAGTTCTGGGTGTGGCTCAAAAGCAAAAATATCCCAAACTATGCAAATTTGAAATAAGTGCATTTTCTTAACCGGGGTTAAAAAGCAACCTGCCAAATCAACAGGCAGTAATATAGTCAACAGTGACACAGCAATTGATGCAGTTTCACTGAAATCAGAAGCTAAACAAGCATACATTGTCTAACAAGTCTCAAAAATTCTTATTCATGTAACTGGAGATAAAACAGAATAGTGATAGCTACTAAAAAAGACAATTATTTGTAGATGACTAGACCTGTTCTGCTAGAACAAACAACACAATGAAATAAACAGCAAAAAAAATTACAAATGACTTTATGTGAAGTGGCTGAATAGAAGACAAAAATCTAGAACTCAGTAATTGTACCACGTACTGTAGCACTGTCCTCCCATTGTTCATCGATTTGCTCGAGTGGGCCCAGTAACGCCTCCATTGTGAGACTTGTTACTGTGTTTGGCATATGGAATACGTCACGGGTAGCTTGCCAGGCTTTACCGTGCAGGCAAGACACTCTCGGTAGCTTGCTGGGCTCTCCAAGAGGGGTGGAGGAATCGAACCTGGGCTGACCGGGTCAGCCACATGCAAGGCTAATGCCTTACCCACTGTGCATATGTACATAATTGTACCATAAGCAATTAAAAAGTCAGAGTGAAAATGTTTCACTGATAATAGCAGCAGATGAAATCCACATGAAATACTGAACCTACAAATGTTTTGAAGTGGAGCTGGAGCCATAGCACAGCAGGTAGCGTATTTGCCTTGCACACGACCAACCCGGGTTCAATTCCTAGCATCCCATATGGTCCCCCAAGCATCACCAGGAGTAGTTCCTGAGTGCAGAGTCAGGAGTAACCCCTGTGCATTGCTGATGCGACCCAAAATGCAAAAAACAAAAACAAAATATCTCAAAGAAACTACAGAATGTTACTGAGAAATAAAAAGAGGATCTTAATACAAAAAGCCTTACCAGATCCAATGAAGAGTCTTAACTTTATTAAAAAGTTAATTTAATAAAACTTGGCATATAGAGGAATATGAGCTACAAAAAGTCAGGCTTGAAAAATCATTTTAGATAGCTGGAGAAGGTTATAACATGTCAAAATGAGAACGCAGAATAAAAAAGACATGAAAGGAGGGGATTGAGGTGACAGCTCAGTGGGTCATGTGCCTGCCTCACAAATGTGAAGCCATGAATTCAACCCCTAGTGTCACAAGTGTGCAAGCGTGAGCCTGGCAACTGCTGTCTGTGCCAGTATGCTTGGCTGTTGTGATTCTTGGTATCACAAGCACCACCAATAAATGCATGCAACACCAGTAAGAAGCACAACTAAACAGAAGTTCTAGCACCCTGGGCAGTGGCTCAATGCCCTACTGAGCATACGCGTGAGTACAGCTAATGAGTGTGATATCCGGCAAGCACTAGAACCAGCATGTGTGTGAACATCACCATTAGGGAGTGTGACACCCCACCCCTGCCATGCTATGAGCACACACACAAGCACCACAACTAAAGAGCACAACTCCCAGCAGGTAGTATACAAGCATTGCCAGAAAACAAAATGGCAAGTGCCAGGCACTGTAGACTAGTGTGTGAGCAGCACTATCTAATGTGCAACACTTGGCAAGAGCCATCACCATATGTGGGAGCACCAGACACAAGTGTGTGCAACCCTGGTCATCGCAACAGTCACAGAGAGGAGGAATGACGCGGGGGTGGAGAGGGGGATGTTGGAATCCAACATTAGAGGATTCCAAGTGTGTCAGAATATAAGACTGGAAGGACACAGATCATTGGTTCGGCCTAGATTTCAGGAACAAAAATTTTCATTTGCCATTTTTAAGCTCTGCAGCATTTTTCTAATTGTATATATGAAAGAATAACACCTCTGGGAGAATAAAATTAATTTAAAATGTCTATACCAACATCCAGACAATGAGAAAATTTCTAGTTACACTAAAATCAGGTCTGCCTGACAAACTTGGGGTCCTCCTCCTGCAGTGCACTGTGTGTACTAAAGTGTTATGCATGAAGTCCAAGGATCAAGATAAAATCCGGTTTCCATGCAAATATTACTACGTGGGCAGAAATAACACAGGATTTTATCCAAGTGGTTCCTTAACTATTTATCCCCTACAGTTCAGTAACTTGAACTCTGAACAGAACAACATCTGGCTAATTTTTACATAGGTGCGACCAATAACTAGTGCCTTAAATCAGGTGTTTATAAGAGAAAAGGCACAGCTCAATTTTCACATCAAGAATTTCCACATCAAGGATGTTTTGGTATCTTATTTCCACAGTAATATCAGTCAATGATTAACTACCCTTGCCCAAACTTTGCTTTTTTTTAAAAAAAATGTTGCTGTTGCCTTCTCCCCTCTAAGCACATTGAAAGCAAAGATAACAACTTACTTCTCTCAAGGTTACTTGGTAGTAGAAACCAGCATCTGGGTTTACTTAGGCTTTCAGGACCAACCTTTAAAGTTTCCGAAATCCACGACCAAAGTAAAGTAGAATAAAAAAAAAAAATCAAACCAGAAAATGCCTACCTATTCAGTAAGAATTAATGATGCCAACAACAGGGACTGCAGCTAAACAAAATCATGTATAAATCCTATCCTAAAGATAAGAGCCAACCACCACTCATTCAAGGACTCAACCCAAAGATAAGGCAAAACCATTTGCTTCAAAATTCATGTGGTCACAACTCTCGTCTCCATAGCAACCACAGAGCAGTCACAGTAGCAGTCAAGTGCCCATTTTCTCTTCCTCATAATACAGTACAATTAGATGATAAACAAAGAACAGCTTGCACAGACAGTCAATGATGACTTGCTTCAAACAGATTACAAGGAAAGAACAGAAACAGTGAGAAGATCATGTTCTTTCTGATTTAGGAGTGCCTTGAGGGAATGGGGCTTAAAATAAACGACCAAAATTATTTGAAGGGGAAAAAAGGTACGACTGGTACAAGCATCAGAGGGACACTGCAGCTTCCGAAAATACAGTAACAAATAAAGGAAAACATTACGATTTTGATACGCAGAAATTTAAAACGAGCTTAAAACGTAGTAAGTCAAGAAATGAAAGACAACTATCAGATGGTTCATTCTCGAAAGTGGAAGGCAAGTGAAGCAAATAAACTGGCAAAGTGCAACCAAAACAACTTTTAGATTCTGTAAAACAGAGGGGCTACCAGAGAAAAGGCAAAGGGGGTGGGAAGAATAAGTAGAGGGGCTCACACGTTGATCATGTGATGGCACTGAAATTTTGGCAAGGCAGGTGGTGGGTCTCATACACATGAAGAGGAATGAAGCTGTACTCCTGAAAATGTTATAGTAGTATAAGCCAGTGACAAATCAATAAAATTTGTTTAAAAATAAACATAATAGTAGTTTCCTAAAAACTCTCATACACATTATGTGCTTTAAACATTTGCTGGCCCTTCCTACAACCATCAGTTCCACAACAGTGATTTAGCTGACAGCAATCATAGTTGCTAGCTCAAAGAATGCAGCAGTAGACAAGCAGATCAGGGCTGGAAAGAAGAGCTCATTAGCTGTAGCTCATGTTTTGCTTGCAAAAGGTCAGGAGTGACCACGGAACACAGAGTCTAGAGTAAATCCAGAGCACCTCTGAGTATGGCTCAAAAACAAGGGAAAAAAAGCAAGAAAGTAAAGCAAATCCTATTTTCAATTTCACAAAGATTCTTGCCAGCCACTTTTCTTTTCTGCTTATCCTAAATGTTTTGTGAAGGCAATGTTGATTTGCATGGTGCCTTGAGAAAATAGGGAACACAGGCTAAGATGGTAAGATAAAAGATATGAAAAAGGTATCTTCAATATAGTGGGGTTTCAAGTTAATATTTGTCAAATGAAAAATCAACGTCATTCAGAAAGATACTCACTGTCTGAAGCTATATCAATCAAAAGAGTTTCTTCTGCTTCTGAGGGAAAAGAAGAAAGAGAAGAATCAGGGAAGAGAAAACCATTCATTAAAAACCAAAAGAAGTAGATGACAAACTAAACAACTTCTCTTAATCACTACCTCTATATCATGGAACACACTTTTTTTTTTCACGGAACACACTTTTAAAAGTTCTTTGCCTTTTTGGTTAAGCAGTTTAAAAAGGGGATTTTAATAGCTCCAGGTTCTAAAAATTATGAGCAACTCCTCTAAAGGAAAAATGAACCGACGAAGTAATCAAATGGAATGCTTTGAAGTTAATCAAGGAATGCAAATTAATAGTAGGGAATAAAACATTAATTCAAGTGAAGGTGAGTTCGATTCCCTTCAATTATAACTTATGTATTTAATAAAAACTAAACTATATCATTTAGATATTTCTTAGAGTCAAGGAGATAACTCAAAAGCCGAAAATCTAGGTTCAAAAGCTTCTCAGTGTACTAATTACCTCTTTTGCCAGTCCCATATAAAGATCAGAGTTTATCTGACATTCTTTGCCTTCAGGCTATAATTAAGACCTGTAGGTCTATGGCCAACCACACTTAAACGGTAAATATAAAACTGGGCAAAGCTGCCTTCAAATCCAGAGTTCTCTTTTCTCTCAGTGGTTCTCCTGAATTTGCTTCCTTCCCTCTAATGTTGAGACCCAACACATGTCATATCTTGTCTTCTCTGACTTCCTTGCATTTGGTTGACAAACCTTGGCACCCCCTTCTGGCTAGCTGAACTGTGGGTTCTGACTTCTCAGTCTGAGCCTGGATCCACTTTGGCCAGATGATGTAGTATCAGTTAGTTCAAGTGTCTTCACAAGCTTGGTTCCATTATGCAGGTACAACAGAAATCACAGGTAAGGAACTAAGTTGTCTAATGCTCAGAAATAGTCTCAACCCTTAGCAGCTGAGGAAGCACAGATACTAGGGCATCAGGCACAGGTGTTGTATGTTCACCCTTGTTATACAATAAACTTTAATTCTTCAAAACTTGAAGGGCCAGTGAGATAGCTCAAATGGCTAGTGAGCATCCCTGGCAGGAGCATCCCTGAGCACAGCTGCGTGTGGCCCAAAAGACCAAAACAAAACAAAACAAGAAAACCCAAAAAACGGAAAAATAAAAAAACAACTAAATCTTGAGTCTGCACAGACTTTTCAAAATAGTTACAGGTTGGGAAACAGGAAGGATGTGAAAATGCAAGGAGGAAACTGTTTTTTTTCTTTTGTCATGGGGAACTACTGTGTGCAAGCATACATGCTTTCTTAGGCTGCAACTTAACCATCTATTTCTTTAGGGGGTAGGGGTTCTGGGCCATACCTGTTGGTTCTCAGAGCCTATTCCTGGCTCTATGCTCAGGATTGTCCCCTGGAGGTGCTTGGGGGACCTTATGTGGTACTGGGATCAGACTGGATTTGTTGGCATAGTAGGCAACTGCTTTACCTTCTGTACTCTCTATTTCTCTGGCCCTCTATTTTCAATAAAAAATACTGACAGGAACAGGGTAAAAGATTTTAATTGTAGTATAAGAAGAAATAGACCTTAATAGAATACTAAAGTCTTGTTCTTTGGCTCCTCTCCTTAAAGGGCTGGGTAAATAACAAAGGGTACTATACTATGAAAAGTAAAGTAACCATAGCAGCTCACTACATCACACATGTGCCTTGTTTGATACGCCTTCATCACACAGACAGGCTTGCGTATCCCTCACACACGACTTCTTTTATACACTATGGATACTATTTATTGTGGGTATTTTTCATTATTTTATTTTTCATTCTTAATAGATGTTATCTTATAAAGGCATACCCACTTAGTACTGGTACATATGCACAAAAATCTTCCTGAGATAGATGTATAGGAAGACTGATATATAGAGATGTTCGTCACATTACTACACTAGTGAAAAAGAACCAAATGTCAAACAAAGGGAGCTTCAGGGAGGGGAGCTATAGATTAGATGGAACAGTATGCGGTTCTCAATAGCATGGAAAAGTCATGCAGAATGGGAAAAATGTTATGTATACAAGTGTAAGCCCCACCAACCCTAAAAAAGCCATATGTAGAAAAAAAGAAAAACAGTAGTTTATTAAGGAGGGATGAGGATGCACTTGTTTTCTTTATACATTTCCATTCTTTTCAAACTCTAATGATAAAAAAGTTCAATGCCATTTGAGAAAGAATCCATGCAAGACAAGATTCAAGTTTCTCCAGGGAAGGTCCAGCTGATGCAAGAAGACCTCTGTCTCTAGAAGCCTCTGGAGTCACCATAATGCATGTGTTCTCTAGTAATCTATTTCCTTTCTGGAGCACTGGGAGATGACAGAACCAACACCTCCTACACAATACACTCAATTTTTGACTCATTGTAGCAGATGAAACAACAGATTTTCTGTTCTCAGTCCTCAGATTTGAGGGCAGGAAGTCAAATATTTCCTCTTGGAGTCAATTTTCTCATGATTTACCACTGTCAGTGTTTGAAAACAGTGTAAGGTATTATTATGATCTGGAAAGGTATATGGTCAAATGGTTTAATTTCAAATGGTGTGAGGATAAAGCACCGAATGTATGTGAATCCAATGACCTTTCCAAACTTTACAATGAGCAGTGTGCCAATTAAGCCCCCAAACGGCATTTAAATCCACATACAGGTCTGGCAGCATGAAAAACTATACATGCAACAAACTATATACGACTCTAACCCAGGTCAAGAAAGCAGATGAGAAAAAATTTCATTTTCACATATATTTCAAAATAGCCCTACAGAAGAACTCTTAGGTAAATTACCATTTTCTCTGTGGTAGACTAACAATGCACCTTTTAGTGCAAAGACTAAACACTTAAGTTTTATACGCCATGCTAAACTTCAACATATATGATATAACAATACAACAATGACCAAATAAAAACATAAACCAGGTCAGCAATTAAAGCTAGTACCTTGAACACATCTAAAGTGGCTATTTATAGGAATGATATCTTGAACATGCTGTTCCTTCTGGTACAACTGGATTATTAACCTAGGAAACAGAACAATATATCAACGAATAGCTTCTAAAAAATGAAAACATTTAACGAACAAATAAATGCATTACTGTTAGAAAAATTTAGCATTTATTAGATTTGCCATATCTTGGTCTCTGGATCACAGACAGCTAATTATTGCTCAAGGTCTAAAGGGATCTTAGCAGTGACGAACACAAAAATACTCTTTTTCTGTTTTATACAGAAAAAGAGCCTACAATCTTAAAAGCAGGAATCGCAACGCATACACCTTTAGAGTACACCTACCAGTGTATACTTCACAACTGTATGAAGTCCCTAAGTGCAGGGACATTTCTTTTTCCACAGCAACAAACAGATGTATTAGAGCAGTGTGGGTCCTAGGTAAACCCCTTTAGCCAGTAAACCGCATTTTGTTTTCCATTGATAAAAGGTAACAACTCTAGTAGTATGCACAATACCTGACACAGAGTGATGACACAAATTTGTTATATTAAAATTGGAAAACAATTAATGTTTTTTTAAATTTTGTGGTCACACTCAGTAGTGCTCAGGGCTTCTTCAAAGTTCTGTGCTCAGGAGTGATCCATGGTTGGTTACATGTAAGGCAAGCACCTTATCTCCTAAACCACCACTCCAGCCCAGAACTGAAAAAATTCTTGAGCTAGATTTCCAATTATATTTCCATGTCTCTGTCTCTGTCTCTGTCTCTGTCTCTCTCTCTCTCACACACACACACCCACACACACACACAAGTTCTATCTCTTTAAACAAATTTGTACAGGTCCATGGAGGAATAAGAAGAGGTGCCCAGGTAGCTCCATGAACAGGTTGCCTTTTCATTCCTTGAGTTTTCACTCTGGTTTCCAACTTCATATTACTATTTTCTAGGTAAACACGACAAATCTGGCATCTCCAGCATGCAATATGAGACTTCTAAATGCTGACTTGAGGGGCTGGGGTGATAGTACAGTGGTAGGGCGTTTGCCTTACATGTGGCTAACCTGGGTTTGATCCCCAGCATCCCATATGGTTCCCCCAAGCACCGCCAGGAGTAATTCCTCAGTTCAGAGCCAAGAGTAACCCCTGAGACTTAATGCAGAAAACCAGCAGCTTGGAGCAGAAAAACGAAAGGACTATGTGTTAATCCACACCATCATGCCTGCCTGGAGGGGAAAGGATGTTGCTCCATTCGCCCTCTCCTCTCTAGAAAGAAAGATGGCGGCCGCATGGGAGCCTTGTGGACAGCAGGTATGAGCCGGGGGTCTGGGGGCGACGAAAACCTCATGGGAAGGGGGGTGTTCCGGCCCATCCTTCATGCCCTACCGAGGTCACCAGTTGCCCCCCACGAGCGGCTCTCCGGCACGACCACGACTCCAGAGCACAGAAACCAATCTCTTAATTATCTGACTTTTAGTAGAAATACTTCCAGGGTTAATAAGTAAAATAGCAGAAATCTACAACATTTAATTCTTGAACCCAGCTGTAGAAAGCAAATCATTTCACAACGCTTTTTCAGCATGTCTGATTTCGGGGGGGGGGGTAAACTAAATAATAATGGTGCATCTTTTATCGAAACAATGAATCTAGTCAAAGTAGATAGAGTGTTAACTAGAACTCATCTGCCTCACAGGCATTGGGAGGGGTGGGAGGTGGGGTTTTATTGGGGTTCGTGGTAAAAAATAAGTATTGGTAAAGGGAAATGTGTCTGATATTTGCATGACTGAGACCTAAACCTGAAAGCTTTGTAACTTTTCCCACAGTGATTCAATAAATAAATAAATTATTTAAAAAAAAAGAGTAACCCCTGAGCATCACCAGGTATGACTCAAAAAGAAAAAAAATGCTGACATGATTCTGAAATAAGAATTTTCATTGACTGGGTCTGGAGTGATAGCACAGCGGGTAGGACGTTTGCCTTGCATGCCGCCGACCTAGGTTTGATTCCCAGCATCCCATACGGTCCACCGAGCATCGCCAGGAGCAATTCCTGAGTGCATAAGCTAGGAGTAACCCCTGTGCAATGCCGAGTATGACCCAAAAAGCAAAATAATAATAATAATAATAATAATAATAATTTTCATTGACTACCTATGCACAGAGTATAAATACAATCAAGGGGGAAAATCCTTATAAACTTATTGGCAAACAGGCATTCTGAATGTTTTCTAGCTTGTGCCTAAATAAGCACTCCTTAGGTGGTTCTTTTTTACCAGGAACAGACAGTATTTTTTTTCTGCTGAGGACAAGCTCAAATATCATACCCTCATAGACTCATCATCTTTGCTTGCCTCTCTCTCTAGAAGGGCACTTATACACTCATAAGCAAGGACACTATCAGATTCAGTTTTGTCTCTGCCTAATAGATGGTTAAGTACTGATTAAGTTAATGAAGTAGCTTATTTAAGCTATTAGTAGTGATGGATTTATAAATATAGAACCAATCAACTTAATATTAAAATGTCAATGCTGGAGCCAGAGCAATAGTACAGCAGCTACGACGCTTTCTGGATTAATCCCCGGAACCCCATACAGTCTCCTGAACTCGTAGAGCCAGGAGTAAACCCTGAGCACTGGGTTTGGGTGTGGCCCCAAATACTGCTTTCCCCCAAAGTCACTGTTTCAAAAGGGTTGACTTCTATTTTGTTGTCTCGAATGCTCTGTTTTATTCTTTAAAAAATTTTTTTCAAATGTGACAACTTTAAAAGAGATAACCTGGGGAAAGGAATTGCTTAACTAGTAAAGTAAAAGTAAAGTAAAGGCCCTCCCGTTGATTGTCGATTTGCTCGAGCGGGCCCAGTAACGTCTCCATTGGAGACTTTGTTGTTACTGTGTCTGGCATATCGAATACTCTCGGTAGCTTGCCGGGCTCCAAAGGAAATAAAAGAATTTATGTTGCAGCACCAAGAGAGCTCAATGGGCTGAGCACATGCTTTGCATGCAGGAAGCAGCCCAAGTTTGGTCCCTGGCACCATATGGTCCCCTGGGCATTGAGTCTGGAGTGGTACTTCAGCAAAGCTGGCCATGGACCCAAAACAGCCCACCAAAAGAAAAAAAACTGTGTTGTCTTTCTGCTCTTATCTTGCTTGCCTCATCTGCAAACTATACATTTTAAGGTGATTAGCAGAATATGGGGCAGACTCCTTTCAAACTGCAAAGCTCTTAAGTTGAGCAGAGTCTCCTAAACCTAGATGGAAACCAAACACCAGATAGCAGGCTGACAAAGGGTCAAAGAGGTTACAGGGCTGGAAAGACAGTACAGCGGGTAGGGTGCTTGTCTTGCACACAGCTGGCCCTTGTTCAATACCCAACACCCCATATGGTTCCCTGACTTCACATCCAGGAGTAAGTTGGATGTGGCTCAAAAATAAAAATAAAAAATGTAGAGGTTACTTTGAGCAAAATGACCATAAATCAATATAACCTCAAAGTAATGTTAAAAACTATCACAAGGGGACAGAGGAGAGTATAGGGTAGAGGCACTTGCACATGGCTGACCCTTGTTCAATTCCAGCCACCTCCTAGGGTTCCCTGAGCACTGTCAGGAGTGTTCCTTGAGCACGGAACCAGAAGTAAGCCCTGAATACCATGTGTGCACCCCTCAAAAAAACCCTTTACAATACAAAGATAAAATAGGAATTTAAACCGTTACACAAATATTAATGGAAGATATTCTATGTACTAATATCCAAATGCACGGTAGCAAGAAAGTAGGGTTAAAACAATTAAACTTAATATCATTTCAAAAACAGAAAGATAAAAAAGAACAGGCATATGGATAAACAACAGAAATTATAATTTGATTGTACAACACACCACAATGGACAACTGCCAACTGAATGCTGAATCAGTATAATCCAAATGAAAGCAGGAGATACTCTGATTTGTTTACAAAAGGTCCATGATGAAACAGGAGACATCATAATCCATTTTTTCTTAAAAATAATGAATCTTAAGTATTCTAAAAAATTCAAAAAATATTTTTAACTATATCTTTAGTCTTTCAAGTACATTTCTCCTACAGCTGATAATAGGAGCAACAGAACAATATATTAAATAGGCTGGGGTCAGAGCAATAGTACAGCAGGTAGGTCACTTGCCTTGCACATGATCTACCTGGGTTTGATCCTTGGTACCCCATATGGTCCCCTGTGCCCCACCAGGAGTGATCCCTTGACAAAAAGCCAGCAGTAAGCCCTAAGCACCACAGGGTGTGCCTCCAAACCAAAAAAATAAATAAAAGAAATTATTGATTTACTGAAAGGCTGGGTCAAAACATTCAGGTTACCCTAGTCAGAGAATACACTTGAGACAAGAACTTGAAGATTACAGGCAATACTTCAGTACTAGGTGCTGTCAATAAATGGCCAAAAGAAACTTCTTAGACAATGTAACCCTGAGAGATGCTATCTGAACTCAACTATCAACTATCTATTATGCTACCTCCTAACTATGAAAAAGTCACAACCTCATATTGGTGCTGGATCACTATATGCCTAAAACTCAACTATAACTAACTTTATTTTTTTTACTTTTTTTAAATGTAGGAGTACTGCTATTTATTCAGCCACTGATTAACTGATTGAATTGGGATGAACTCGACATAACTGACTTTATAAATCACAAGCCTTTAATAAAAACAAAATAAGATTTTAAAAAGTGACCACCTCTGCGGCCAGAGAGACAGTGCAGAGGGTAGGGCGTTTGCCTTGCACACAGCCTAACGGGGTTTGATCCCCTGAACACCCTGAGCACCGCACCGCCAGAAGTAATTCCTGAGTGAAGAGCCAGAACTGAACACTGGCAGGTGTGACACCAAAACAAATAAACAGACAAGAACCAAAACATAAACAAGCAAGTGACCACCTCTGTACCTTATTTTTTTTTTATCTGCTAAAGGGGGATCATGTTAATATTACATTCCACAAAAATTCTCACCGGAAGATTAAATGAATTAATTCATGACAAATGTTTAGAACAGTACCTGGGACATATCAACCCATACAGTTGTTGCTATACCACCATAACTTGCACAGAACTGGAACATAAATAGTTTAATTTCTCCATGCAGAGGTCACAAATAGTTAGGAAAGCTACCAGTGCAAGTTTAAAAGTTCTTCTAGTACAAGAACCTCTAGATACAAGGAAACGGATTTTTTTTATATTTGGTCCACACCTGGCAATACTCAGGGTTTACTCCTGGCGTGCTCAGGGGACCATATGTGATGCGGGGTTTGAACCAGGTCTGCCTTATGCAACGCAAGTGCCCTACCTGCCGTATTAACGGTCCAGCCTGGAGGCATTTTTTCTTAAGGTCTGCTTAAGCCAGACCTACGAGGGCTACCAATGTCACCATTTTATTTACTCCTGATCATCATCTTTACAGAGGAGGAAACTAAGGCATAAATATTCTCATTTGCCCAACGGTCACATCCTTCCAACCCAACCTACCCCTTGGAAAGTGGCAGTGGTGTTACACTTTCCAAGTGACATGGATTTTCTGTGGAACTTCAGGGTTTGAAGAAATTTGGGGGAAATAACACAACCCTCCCATATCAACAGAACTGACCAAGCAGGACATAGAGGAGAGCTGTTATAGCAACAGCCATTTAGAGTGGTCCCAGAAAGTGACAAGGCTAGGGGCAGGAGATAGTACTCCCATTCACCTTGGCCCCTGGGGAAGGCTCTTACCTCTTCTGACCAGGGGCTGATCCCTAGCACCAAATATGATGTCCAACACCCCCAACCCATCACCACCAGTGATCCCTGATCACAGTGCAAGGAGTAAGCCCTGAGTATTGCAAGATGTGGCCCAATGTCCAGCCCCCTCAGAAAAAAAAGAAAGAAAAGAAAATCCCGAGGCTAGGCCTAGCAGGCAAAGTCAGTGGGAAATTGCATCAATTGGATTATGTCTGGACTCCCTAACTGCAGTCAGGGCCTGAGGAAAATGTGCAGGCAGAATCCAATTTGGGAGATTACAGGATTTAAATGATCAACTACTTTGCAACTCTGATGTGAAAAAACTGGTGCCTAAGGAGGAGGGGGTCACGATGGGCTTCAGCTATGCCATGATTACCAAGGCTACTTTAAAGATGGTAAAGTGCTGATAAAGGTGTCATATTGGCACACACTTCATTACTTTTCTCATACAGCCCCATCAGCAAGTGAGGCAGTTAAGTGGCCTATAAGTAAACCAGAGCTTAACTAACGAATATGCCTTCCAGCAAGTGGAATCAGGAGGTGGGGAGACTGGAGGAACCAGTTGAAATGGAGTGAGGGAAAAAAAGGCGCCTCTTGTGTGGTTAACAATGAAGCGTTGCTATTGGACTTTTACTTTTGCAAACCACTTGCACGTTCCGTGCTTCTCGGAGCCACCACTCCACAAGCTACACGGGTAAGGCAGTTGGGGTTTTTACTGAGCTGCTGAGGACAGTAAGGCCCCAAACGCTTTATTGACTCGCTCGTGGTTACACAATCCATGCCAGTTGGAGGAGAAGGAACCAAGAACCCAGGCTTCCTGCTCCCCGCCCACTGAGTCCCCCCCCCACTCCCCCCCCGCCACCCCACCCCCGACCCGCACGGTCTGCCAGGCGCGATCTAGCGGCTGGGAAGTTGGGGGACAGAGAGCCCGGGGCAGAGAGCACCGGCGGCGCTGCACACCTGGGGCTGGACCTGGGGGCCTGGAGGGAGCGAGAGTGGTTCTTGGGGCCAGGACGTAAAATGGAAAGCTCCTCGACCTCGGCGGCAATCAGGTGGTTACTTACTCATATTGCCCGTTTCTCTGGGCGAGAATCAGGGCGCAGGGCTCCCGGACTGGCCCCCTCAGCTCCATGCCCCGGATAGTATGTGAGCTCTGGTCAAGGGTCTCCTGGGAACTCGCGGCTCGGGAGGGGTGGGGGGGGGGAGGGCAGTGGGAACCGGAGGGAGACTCCCGCCCGCCCGGGTGCCCGATAGCACCTCCTGCGCCGACCCGTCTTTCCCGATCACCTGGGCCCCTGGGGCCTTCACAGCCGCCCCGCTCGCCCCCCCACCCCCACCCTCGCCGCCGCGTCCCGCAGTCCCCCGCTACCCCCCCCCCCCCCACGATCCTCCACCCCCGGCTCGGCGCCGCCTCCCCTCCCCCTTTTCTCAGGCGGATACAGCAAGGGGCTGGGTTCCGACCGGGAGCTGCGGCTCCATCCGGGCGGCACACACTGCGGGCGGATCCGACGACACTGCCTCCCGCGTCCTAACGGCCACCGGGTTCGGCCGCGCGTCGCCTACGGAACAGCGTTCCGTGCAGGGCGCCCGAAGCCAGAAACCGGGAGCAGGGCGACGGGCGTTGGGAGCCGAGAGCCTGGCCCGAGAGAGAGCGGCGCCTGGCGCCCCCGCCGGTTTTCCAGGCCGCCGCAGATTTCGCCCCCTGTGGCCAATCTGAGGAACTGCAGCTCGAGACCCGACAGACTGGGGTGTGGACTACCACGTCCAGCGAGGAATTCCTGGCGGGGGGTGGCGCGCGGGGTGGGGTGGAGGGACAGGGGGCGGGGTGGGGGCGGGAAGCAGAAGGTGAGAAAAGGAAGTAATGGGAAACAAGGGTCGGGACTTCAGTTATAGTGATGATGCGTGGGAGTGCTATAATTATATATCCACAGCACAAACTCAGTACTGAAAACATGAGATCTAAATTGCAACCAGTTAACTTTGTCATGTGCCTGTCCAGGTGGAGGTGGGCTTTGGCAAGTTGGAGTATGGCAACAGGGGTGGAGGACAGTTGACACTGGTGGGGGATTGGTGTTGAAATATGCCTAAAACTTAACTATCAATAACTTTGTAAATCACGGTTATTTAAATATTTTTTTAAAATAAAGGCTCTTGTCATTTTTCCGAAAACATAATATAAATAATAATTATAACATGGCACCTATTATACTTGGACAGATTTTGTTGCAACAAAGCCTTCCTATATATCTTAATAAGCATTTTCAGCTGAACAATTATAAAGTCTCTCTGAGACAGCAGAATCTTCTGGGGTCTTTGAAGATTGCCACAGAAACAAAACAGTCAGGGTGTAACTCAGATATGTTGAGCTAATAAGACCCACAACTACTCACCAAAAAATCTGGATTAAAGTTCCAAGGCACCACACCATCATACCATGCTACCCTGCTGGTTATCCTCTCTTTCCTCCCACACCTAAATCCCTGCAGACAAGGATAAGGATATATATGTATGTATGTGTATATATATACATATATACACATATATATGTGTGTATACCTAAATATATATATGTACATGCATATATCCACATACAACTGAGCTGAGGGTGTGGGGGACACTACTCCTGAGTTGGTGCTGAATGGTCACTTCTGGAGGTGCTCAAGTGAACTTGGAGTGCTGGACATTGGGTCTTGGGCTTCCTCCTGCAAAAACATGTGTACCAGCACAGCACTGACTGAAAAAAAGAACTCATAGTCATTCCACCCAGCCACTTAGAATCGATTCTTCAACACTATGTGCTTTCCCCGTCTTTCCTAATTCCTCTGTGTCCAGTCAACAAGCCTTGTGAATATTTCCTTTGGAATTGCTCCTAGATTGTTATGTTTCCATTTTTACTCCATCACTTGTGAATGGCAGAATTTATTGTCAGTCCTTGTGATATCTCTGTTAAACATTTAACTCTGTTGATAGTCATAAAAAAAATTCTTCCCAGAGAAAAGTTTCACTTGTGTCATTTATTTACTTAAAAACTTCAATGGACTAGATATTGCAACTAACTTTAAACCTATAATAATCAGGACTCTATGGTGTGGTGATAGAAAATAAAAAAAAACCATTCAGACACAGAAAAATTTATATTTAGCATATGCAATGTTGCAGATAAGTAGAGAAACTGAATTACTCACTAAACAGTGTGAGGCTCAACACCCAATAAGAGAGAGAGAACAAAAGGAAATGCCCTGCCACAGAGGCATGGTGGGATGGGGGGGATGGGGGAATGGGGGGAATGGGAGGGTGGGAGGAATACTGGGATCCGTGGTGGTGGGAAATGGGCACTGGTGGAGGGATGGGTATTTGATCATTGTATAATTGAAACTCAAGCACAAAAATTTGTAAGTCTACAACTGTACCTCATGATGTCTCACTAATAAAAAAAAAGAGGAAAATAAAACAAAAAAATAAAAAAAATTAAAAAGGCAAAAGAAAAAAAACAATGTGAGGCCTATTGGGAATTTCTATGGGAAAACATACAAATATATCCCTATCTCACACCATAGAGGGGGGAAGTAACGTCCAGGTGTATTAAAGATCTAAATGTGAAAAGACTCCATAGCTTTCCAAAGAAAATTGGATTGTATCTTGATGACATTGAAATGGGGAATGAGAATAACTACTACTAGTCAGCACAGAGAATAACTGATTACTACACAATAACTTACAAACATGCATATACTTCAAGACAACAGAAAAAGGTAAAACACAAACCACAGACTAGAAGATATCTTCAATGCACATAACTGACAGAGGGTAACTGACAAGATTCTGTGCTTTTTAACTGTCATGACTTTTCAGACTTTCTCTCCCACTACTCTTTCCAATTCATTGTTCTTGTCATGTTGCTTTTTGTGATTGCTTGGATTTTCCAGGTACACTCTTGAACTTCAGGATCTTTGTATTTGTTCATCACTCTCAATGCCTTCAGGTCTTTGCGTAAATGTCACTTTCTCAGGGAAGTCTTCTGAAACAACTTTATTTAAAATTGCTGTTCAACAACTTTTTCTTCCCTCTCCCATACATACACGCTTTCTATCCCTCTTCCCAATTTATTTTCCTCCAGTTCTCATTATCTATTATTCTATTTACTGATCTTTTATTTCTGAGGTGAGGGAAGGCACACCTGGCTGTGCTCAGGGTTTATTCCTGGTTCTGCACTCACGGATCATTCCTGGCAGGGTTCAGGGACCATACTGTTTGCCAGAGATAGAATACGGGTCAGATGCATGCAAGGCTGACCTACTTGCTGTGCTATCGCTCCAGGTCAGTAAGTTCCTTGATGGCAGGACTTTTTATCTGCTTTGTTTGTAGTTGCATCTCCAGTGCACAACACCATTCCTGGAACACAGTAGATGCTAGAAAAACATCGATTGTGTGAATAAAATAAAATCCCAAAAGTATAAAGACCTCTATAAATCTGTGAGAAATAACAGAAACCTAGTATAAATTTTGACAAAATATATGAGTAAGCAATTCATAATCAAGGAAACCCAAATTGCCAATAGAGACACGAAAGCATACTTCAAAAAAATTATTGTTGAGGGAAACAGAAGGTGTGGAGTAGTAGCATATATTTTGAAGAGATGTGAAATTGTATCCCTACATATAGCTTTGTAAGTCAGCAGTATTATGATAAAAATTAAAACATAAAAATTTACAATATAATGTGATAAAATTTCTCAAGCATAAATTTTGTTATACAATATATATACATATATATATATATATATATTTTGGGCGGGGGTGGTGCACTGGGGTGACGCATGATTGCTCAGTGCTTACTTGTGGCTCTGCGCTCAGGAATCACTTCTGGAGGGGCTTTATGGTTGCTCTGGTTCCAACACCAATTGATGTTATCTAATAAAGTTAAATATGTGTTACCATACAATCTAGAAATTCCAGTTCTGGCTATATACTTTGGGGAAACACTAAATTTTGTTTACAAGAAGACACGTGAAACATTGTTCACTGCAGCATTATTTTTAATTTCAAAAAATGGAGCTAAATTCAATGCCCATCAGCAACACTGCAATTTCTTCAACCATAATCTGAAAAATTGATGTTGCAAGATTTGATAGAACTAGGTGGTGGGTACGTATACTACTAGTATATCATTCCATGTGCTTTCCTACATATGAAATTTTTTAAATAAATGAAAGTGGAAAATGGATAACTAATATGTATGTGAGGGTTAACAGTGATAATTGATAAAAATAGAACAAGGAAAATGAAGATTGACTTTGGATGTGTCAAGGAGTTCACTGGAGACAGCTAATTAGGTAGCTTCAGTTAGTGTTGAGGGTAGTGACAAGGGAATTAAGGAGGCTGTATTGTGAGAATGGAATTGAGAAATCATGTATTAAAGATGTTTTAAAATCAAAAGAAGCAAAATAGAATTTTAATTAGTTAGAAGGGTTAAAGAGAAATTCTTGACAAAACCTCCTGCTACCTTAAAGAGCAAGGAGGTTTGAAGAGGGAGACGTTTAATGTGTGGGAAGGAAGCAGAAAGCTTGCAAGAAACAGTCCTCAGTCATTGAGAAGGACATGGATATAAAGTGGATATGGAGAAGTTGATTTCAGAAGAGGCAAGATACTTCTTTCTTTGATCTTCAGTATCCCTGGACATCTAAAATAGGGGCCAGTATCTTCTATATGTTAAGTGAAGAATAATGGAATATGTAGAAATGGAAATATATTGAGATGAGAAGACTTTAAAACAGTAATCTCTTCCAAGGGTGATTCTAATTTTCTTAAAAGCAAAAAGTTCTGGAGAGATAGCACAGCAGAGAGGGAGCTTGCCTTGCATGCGGTTGATCTGGGTTCAATCAATTCCCAGGACCCCATATTGTCTCCTGTGCCCCTCCAAAGCAAAGCCAGAAGCTCTGAGCACCACCATGTGTCACCCCAATGCTAAAAAGAAAAGAAAATTTGAAAAAAAGAAAACAAGTTCAAAAGTGTATGTTGCAACAGCAACAGCTGTTGGTGTCTAACCTTTAATACTTGTTATGTGACCAGCACTTTCCTCATAACTTTCCATACATACTTTCATTTAATGCTCACTTGAAGCCCTATACAGTCGTGGTATTATCAACACTTTAAAGATGACAAAAATGAGGCTCATAAAGATTTGGCAGCTTGCCAATTATCTGGTTAGTGACAGACTCAGGATTGAAATTTACATTTCTCTGACTCCAAAGTCCAAGTTTTTAAAACCAACACATTCAGCTGTTCATTCCATATTAACTGTTGGTTGAGAGTCTCCTATGTGTCACCACTGTGCTAACTGTTCTGCCTGATTTAATCTGATAACGTTGAAATTGAGAGTAGGCAGTTTGGGAACATGAAGGGGGCAGGGAAGGAGAGAGCAGGCACTGCTGGAGCGTGATTGCAGTCCAGAAAAATTAATAAAGGATTTCAGAGCAAAGGAGAGAACCCGGCTGGAGGCAGGCTGCATAAATTTCTACAGTATTTCCAAATCAGCATGGGGCTGTCTGTAACTTTTTCTGGCAATGTTCAGCAGATGGAAAGCAGGAGTAGAAAAAATGTGTAACAAGCAGATGTATTTGACTCATGGCTTAGTTCAGCAAGCAGAGCAGAGGTGAGGGATTCTCAAGCAGTGTCTGGGTTGCCTTGAATTAGCTGACCCTGAGCGTCAATGCTGGTTAAGCCATATATCCCCTCCAACTACTACCAGCAGAGCGGATGAAAGTACATTCTGTTAACGATTTCCCTAGGTTTAATTCTGTAGCAAACTGCTTCTTCATCTTAAGCGTTACTTAAGACTTAGGCTTACTGTACCTGTCAAGATTAAAGTTATTTTATCCAAACTGCCTTTTGATTTACCTGTGGTTATGATACCACTCTTCAATCATCCAAGTTTGAAATTTCAGGTTGATCAGTGAATCCTTTAGCTATGCTATCCAACAACTCATTTTGCCTACATTATAGAAAATCCCTTTATGTATAGCTCTTATCATCCTCGGCTATCATTAATACCTGGCATTGAGCCTCATCAAATAAAGGTCTCGTGTCCTATATTGGCTGTAGGGACAAGAGACAGCCGCTGAAAATAATTAAGTGGTTATTGTGCAAAATGTAAATAAATGAAGCTCTAGCTACAAGACATCTTATCAGAACTTTTCTTTATGACATCTTATTATCTCATTCCTACTTTGGACAAACTTGCAGGCTATCGAATGTAGCCTGCCCACAGGGCAGAGTCTGGCAAACTCCCCGTGGCGTACCAAATATGCCAAATACCAGTAACAATGATGGGTCTCATTCTCCTAAAGAGCCGTGAATATAATCTCAGGGCTAGGATGAAAGAGACGTTACTGGGGCCTGCTCGAGGCAATCGACGATTAACAGGATGATGAAATGAAAATGAAATAGAAAATCCCTTTATGTATAGCTCTTATCATCCTCGGCTATCATTAATACCTGGCATTGAACCTCATCAAATAAAGGTCTCGTGTCCTATATTGGCTGTAGGGACAAGAGACAGCCGCTGAAAATAATTAAGTGGTTATTGTGCAAAATGTAAATAAATGAAGCTCTAGCTACAAGAAAGCAGTAGTCTCAGTACCTTTCACCCCACAAGTGCACACACAAAATTAAATGGAAGCTTAGACCCTGTCTCTTACCTATTACTCAGCTATAGTTAAATGCTTAGGGCTTAAAAGGTTTGTAAATATGAAAGTTAAAACACGAGTTCTTAAATAGAGACTATGAAGCACTAAAATAAAATGGAAGGGAAAAAAAGCAACAATGAAATGACTATGTTAGAACACATCAATGTTATTCTTTTTATGTTCACTAATAAATCCATTGTTTTTTTAAAAACAGGTTTTAGTTTGGATCTTCATACTTCCCAAGACTTTCCAAGTATGCATAAAGATTATGGAGAAATTGCAGCTGTTTGTTATAAATTAAATTAGTTATGTGCAGACAAATAATTTCAAGAACAAGATTACAAAAGGCTTTTGAAGAAATTTACAGCAGATAGACAGATATTTAATGCAACCTATCAATGACCTTTAACATTTTCATATAAAACTGCCTAAAGTCCTCATAAGTGAGAGCGCCTAAGGCCTGCAGAAGCAAAAATGGGCTTGCCTGACAGAGAGGAGGCTGGGAGGAAGATTTCGCATAGGTGAGTCAGCAGACAGAGGCTGGAAGGCTGGCTGAACGGAGGCATAAATGATTCATTGATTTTTAAATCACCACTAGTTGAAAAGCCTCCCTTTTCATAAACACCGCTCCAACATAGATCCTGCTTTCCACACAGAGCTACAGAAAAGGGAGCCCATTTGTATTTACAGATTACTGTTTATCTCTTCCATTCTTTATAGAGTCTGTGTTGAGAAAGGTTCCTTAGCTGGTGAGTGGCAGAACAGGCAGAAGAGCTACAGGCCCTCCTCCCCTCTACAGCTCACCTTCCCTTTGCTACTCTTTTCTGCTCTTGCTATTTTTTTCTTTTCTTTTTTTTCCTTTGCTTTGTTTCTCTTTTCTGATTTATTTGTTTGGGGCCATGCCTGGCGATGCTCAGCGGGTTACTCCTGGTTCTGCCCTCAGGAATCACTCCTGGCAGTAAGCCAGTGTGGACCATGTGCAAGGCAAGTGTCCTGCCCATTGTAGTATCATTCCAGCCCCTCCACTAGTTTCTTAATTTCCTGTGCCCACCAACCACCCTCTTTCATTCTCCTGAAGTTGACTCTCTTTTCAGGTCTGTGAACCCTGTAGCCAGATTTGCCATTGCCCACAGCAATTTGCATGTACCACTCAGAAATTGGAGGCTCTGAACTTAAAGAACTTAGAGTGTGCCTGATATTTAAGACTCCAAGGATTTGTCTAGAACATATTTTTTCTAGTTACCTCCCGAGACTATTTTTGACAAAACTTATAGTCTACATAGCAGTCCTCTAAGGAATTGAACGGTAGTAAATCGTGGCAATAAGATGGTTGTGCTCAGGATTCAAGTACTTAGTATATCAGCTAGATAACTTTCCATCATGGTCTTGCACTTTGCAGACTGTTAAACTTTAAGAAGATGGTCATAAACATATGTATACACAAAGAAATGAAGCGATGCTGATGTTGAAATATAGACCATAAAAATGATAAAATGCTGCAAATTCTCAAGATGATACTCATCAGACCCATAAGCCGCATTTATCTGATCAAAATTCTTAGATAGCACATAAAGATATTGCTAGTGCTCCAGAAACTCTTAAAAGAAAATAGGGTTAAGGATACACTGAACTCTGGGGCAGACAACATTAACACTTCTGTAAAAAATCTTAAATTAATAAATTCAACATTGCTTTCTGATTATTAGAAGCACAAAAAAATCTGTGTTTGTAAATGAACCCATCTCTTTAACCTCATCATTTAGAAACAAAGCATACAAATTATTAAAGCAAGCAAAGCTGAGGTTTCTTAAAAGCACAAAGTTCAAGAATTCCAAACATCAGGTCTTAAAAGTAGTTTTTGTCTCTTCGTGACATTTTATCTAGCCAGTGAAGATTACCTGAGATCCTTTCTACCCTCATCTTGTGGCCCTTCTCAAGGCAGGTAGTAACCCATGAGACTGGTCTCACGTCCAACACTAGAGTCACAAAGAAAGGGCAGAACACAATTTTGGTTTTTGGTCTATGTCATGTCTCCATTCAGGATAGAAGACAAAGATTTGGGAAGAATACTAGCTGGGCAAAATGTGTGATGTTACTTGACTCCCTCGACCTTAGTACATAAGAGCCCCTGAACTGAGCAGGAAGTGAATAGGAAAAGAATAGTGGTGGTGGAGAATGGGCACTGGTGGAGGGATGGGTACTTGATCATTGTATAGCTGAAACCCAAGCACAAAAATTTGTAAGTCTACAACTGTACCTCATGGTGTTTCACTAATAAAAATTTAAAAAAAAAAGAATAGAACTTAGAGGCTGGACCTTGAAAGGTCATGAAGAATGGAACGAGCAGGGACCATAGCATTCTCTAATTCTAGCTTATGGGGAGTTGGCAGCAGGTGGTGTTGTATCTCTCAGGAAAGGCCTCCTCCCCACCTTTGTTATTTCAGCCACTCTGTTTGACTCTCTTTGATTGTTGGGCCATGCCCAGCAGTGTTCAGGGGCTACTCCCAGCTTGGTACTTGGGGGGTGACTCTTCCATGTGCTCAAGAACCACAACCAGGGTAAAGCATCTGCCTTGCCCGTGGTTGACTCTGGTTTGATCCCCTGCTCTGCATGTACACCCCCTGAGCATTGTTAAGTGAACCTGAGCACAGAGTCAAAGAGTAAGCCTTGAGCACTGACAGGTGTAGCGAAATAAGCAAACAAACAAAAGGATTCTACTAGGGGTTCCCACATGCATAGCATACACTCTCACTTTTTGAACATGTCCCCAGTACCCTGCTATTTCAGTACTTTGTTGTTGGACCACACTCAGCAGTACTCAGGGCTTATTTCTGACTCTGCGCTCAAGGATCACTTCTGGCGGTGCTCACAGGACTGTATGTGTTTCCTGGGATCAATCCCCAATCTGCTGTGTGCAGGTCAAGCACCCTGCACTATTTCTCCATCCCTGTTATTTCAGTCTTAACATAAACTCTGGAGTTCAAAATCAACATGAAGGGCAGGAAGAATTTAGTGTAAACGCGAAACACAAGCAAAACAAGAGTATTGAATTGAGTCAAGTCTAAGTAAATGAAAGAATGCTTTCTGCTCTTAGAAAGAATGGTGCTCCTTGAAAAAAGTTAGTTCAGATAGAGGTGTCTTGCTGCATAACAGCCTGTATACCAGTATACCAACCCAGAGTAGGATAGATAGACATCTGTAAAACATAACTATTCCTTATAGAAAATGTTCAACCCAGAAGTTTACTGAGAGTGTTAAGCAGAAGTTGGAAAATACTCTCTAATAGATATAATTTCTTTCTTGCCCCCTCACCTGCCATAGAGGCAGACACTCTTCTTCTTCTTCTTCTTCTTCTTCTTCTTCTTCTTCTTCTTCTTCTTCTTCTTCTTCTTCTTCTTCTTCTTCTTCTTCTCCTTCTTCTCCTTCTCCTTCTCCTTCTCCTTCTCCTTCTCCTCCTCCTCCTCCTCCTCCTCCTCCTCCTCCTCCTCCTCCTTCTCCTTCTCCTTCTCCTTCTTCTTCTATCTTGCTCACTCACTCCTTTTCTCCCCTCTCGCTCTTTCCTTTTGGGCATTATGGTTTATCCTCTTATGTATTTTTAGCACTCAGTTCATCACACTTCTTATTCTCAATTTCAACTTAATTAATGCTCTTTCTCCATGCCCCTGCAACAGTACCTGTTGGAATTCTCTTCATTCTTCAATGCTCACTTCAAATGGTTTTCATTGAACTCTTCTGTGATCTCTCAGTTGAAAAAAAGCATCTGCTTTCTTTGTGCAACAGTGTCTATGGATATCTCTTAAAGAACTCCTTGGAATACCAATGTCAATTTAGTATAAATTGTTATGAAATGAATAGACACGTGATAATTTCTAATATTCTTATCTTCATTGTCCTTCATTTACTCAGCAGTATGTACTTTTTACTTTCTTTTTTTTCTGGGTCACACCTGGCTATACACAGAGGTTAAGTCCTGGCTCTGCACTAAGGAATTACTGTTGGCGGTGCTCAGGAAACCATATGGGATGCTAAGAATCGAACCAGGGTCGGCCTCATGCAAGGCAAACGCCCTACCCGCTGTGCTATCACTCCAGCCCCACAGCAGTTTGTTCTTTTTAAAGTAAAATTTTGTGAGC